GTATTGTATGTGTTGTATATATATAGGTATTTTATTGGCTGTTATTTTGCATCCCACCTTCCTGGTTTTTCCCTCTATCTTCTTCATTAGAACTCTTATAGAAATAATTACCCACCACCATTAAATAAGGTGACCAAAACCATACAGCATAGTTTGCCAGAGACAGTTTTAGATTATGTCTTTTATCCCAGCATAAATTTTCATAAACCTTCTTTTCAATCTTCTTTTCAAATTCAACCCTGTTCCAGTTCAGATAATAACTATATAGTCACACTATCATCCAATGATGTCTTCTTAAGAGGCTTCACTGATTCAGGGTAAAACCCGAACAACTTGGCCTTGATTCAAATATCTATACAGTATGACCCTTTTCTGTTTCCAAAGGTTTTTTCTTTGTTCCCTTAAGAGAAGAAATCCTTCTCTTAACCTGAATTGACTCCTTAGCTCTACTTTGAATTGGCTGCACGCATGCGTGCTAAGACTCTTCAGTCGTGTCTGAGACTGTTGGTGACGCCATGGACTCCAGTCAAGACTACTGGAGTGGGTTGCCATTTCCTTCTCCAGTGGATCGAACCTCCATCTCTTATGTCTTCTTCACTGGCAGGTGGGTTTTTACCACGAGCGCCACCAGGTTACTTCATGTCTTATCTTTGTTTTGCTTATGTGACATATTTCTGATCAAGTATTTATTGAGAACAGGGTCTGGATATAAAACATTTATATCCCCCTCTGCTCCTAGAGCAGAGCTATGCAGATAGTCATTTCACCAGGGTTTCTTAGCACCCAAGAGTTTGCACATAGCTTTTCCATGGGAATTTAAGTCAATCAGGTAACAGTTTGACATTAAGATGTGTACTGTTATATGTGCTGGTCATATCATCCTACAGAGATCTCTCTCTATATTACTCAAGTGAAATATTTGTTCTCCATATGTTCTAAAGGGCGTAGCTATGGAAGGAGCGATTGGGATATTGATTCCCTGACTCACACAGTCAGTAAAAAAAAATAAAAAAATAAAAATAAATAAAAAATAAAGCCCAGCTCATAGATTCCTAGGTTAATGGAGCTGATGTTCCGCTGGGTCACACCTCTACCTCTAGGTATGGCAGCACCCAACCTTCCATGAGTCTGACTCTGGGTATAGGTTATTAATCAGCAGCATGGCTCCAATATTTTGAGGACTTGTTTCTAAGCCTTGGCTTTTAGAGTTCAACTGATGCAGTAAAAAAGAAAAAGAAATGTTTAGTTACAAAGGATTGGTTTTCTGAGGTTATTTACTCATCAAAGTGTAAAGCGAGTGCAGAGAAAAAGAGAGTGAGCTAGGCAATTGGGCAAGGAAAGGAAATATATTAGAGGGAAAACGAGAGGGTGACTGGCCCTTGAGAAGAACCAGTGTCCTCCCTCTCTGATGGGATCTTTCTTATTTACCTCCAATGAAAAATTCTCTGAAGGGATGGTTAATTTTTAGCCTGTAGCTGAGTCTGGCAGTCATATAGTTGGAGGTCTGGAATCTGGTGGTCTTTTAGCCTTCAGAAGGTAGGTGCCAGAAGGAAAGCAGAATGTAGTTTGGGCAATTTGGTCAGTCTCAAGGGTCACTGTGACTTTATCCTTTGTTTGAGAGATCAACATAATAAGTTATGTTAACAATGAGCCCCCATGTAGGCCCTATCACAAACGTATCTGTCACCCATGTTCTTTGATAATTTCACAAGGTGGGAGGAAACACTACTGAGATTCAGAGGAAGTCATTAAAACTGGGTGAATTTTTCTCTTTCTCTGCACTCTACAGCCCCTTCCAGAGACAGGACCTTGTGCATCATCAATTTGTAGTTCCCTTCCCTTCCCTTCCCCTTCAAAACATTTGAAAGTGAAAAAGTGTGAAAGTGTTAGCCTCTTAGTCGTGTTCAACTCTTTGCAACCCCACGGACAGTAACCTGTAAGGCCCCTATGTCCAAGGGATTCTCCAGGTAAGAAAACTGGAGTGGGTTGCCATTCCCTTTTCCAGGGGCTTTTCCCAACCCAGGGATCAAATCTGGGTCTCCTGCATTGCAGGCAGATTCTTTACCTTCTGAGCTACCAGGGAGGCCCTCAAAACCTTTATTTTATATTATAAAATATTTTTAAAAGCACACTTTAAAAGTATTAAGAGAAAATATATATTATTTCTAATTTATTGAGAAATAAACTTATTTTGAAGGAAATAGAAATATAAAAGAAAAGTTGATAAATGGGTATATCAAGTTAAAAATCTATACAGCAAATAGACAGATAAGACAGAAAGAAAATCAATCAGTGGGGAGATTGCAACACATTTACGAGGAACACAGAAGACAGCTCTCACAAGTCAACAGAAAATAGGCAAGTTCAGTTCAGTCGCTCAGTTTTGTCTGACTCTTTGCACCCCATAGACTGCAGCATGCCAGGCTTCCCTGTCCATCACCAACTCCCGGAGCTTGCTCAAACTCATGTCCATTGACTCAGTGATGCCATCCAAACATGCAACCACACCAACAAACAGATGAGCAAAGAACATGAACAGGCAATACACGTTGTATTTGGAGTATTTCTATGGAGTATTTCCTGCCATATCAGTAAACAAGGATGTCATAGCCATCAGTGACTTCTGCAACTCCAAATGTAACTTTCTGAGTCCAGAGCCTGTCTGAAAGGGAGAACAATGCCTGCGATTCAGCAGCTGTTGGATGCCACCACTAAAAATCAAGAAGCAAGATGCTGGCCCCAGATAGCTGAGATACATATGAAAGGAATGATTTCAGTGAGCCCAGATGCTTGTATTTTCCCATATAAAAAAGAACGCTAAATTCCTTAACTTGAGGTATCTGGTTTTCCTTAACTGACAATAATCTTTTGCTGTTCAGACTGCCTGCCCCTTTTGTTGCAAACTTCTATATAACCTGACTCCTCCTACATCCTCAAAGAAGTTTCTCAGGGCTACTTGAGATACTACCTCCTAAGCTTGAAGTCCCAAGAATTCCCACCGAATAAAACAACTCTCTACTTTCAGGTTGTGACTATATTTTTCTGTTGACACACATATCAGAAATTAAATACAAACGGCCAAAGAATAATTGAAAATATATTCAATGTTACCAATCAAAAAAGATTGAGAAATTAAAAGGAAATGTCTTATGGAACAGTGTCAATCCAGTGTATTCATTCACTGGCAGATTGAGTGCCTGACAGATTCTCATTGTTGGAGGGGATGCATGGAATTGGGCACTCAAACTTCATTGGCTTGAAAATAAATTGGTATAATTACCATGCATGACTGTATGATGATTCATTCATTTAATAAGACTTTATGATGTGTGAATGAATTAAAATGTAAAATGAGCATACTTTTTTATAGTGTTTGAATATATTGGAACTTAGCCTAAGGAAATAAGGGAATGGTAAGAAAAGAATATATGCATAGGGATGCTCCTTGTAGCTAATTACCAACAGTAATGGTACAGCAATCCTAACTCCGCCAGGCTCCTCTGTCCATGGGATTCTCCAGGCAAGAGTACCAGAGTGGGTTACCAGTTCCTCCTCTAGGGGATTCTCCCAACCCAGGGATCTAACCCACATTTATTATGTCTCCTACATTGGCAGGCAGGTTCTTTACTACTAGCACCACCAGGTAAGCCCCCCAAAACACATTTTCCCTGACCGGGAATTGAACCCAGTTCATGGTGAAAGGACCTAATCTTAGCCACTAGACCACCAGCCTGACAATTGGAATTGCTCCATCATTGACAGTTCTTATATCACCCTGTCCTCAGGTCTCAGGGCAGTAACAGAGTAGGAGGTGTTTTTCAGAGAATGTGCAGATGAGGGTCACCAAGTCTGCTGGAGAGCCTGTCCTTCTTGCTCTAGTCCATGATGGTGAAGGATGGTGAAGTTCTCCTCCCACTGGTTTGACTGTCTAAGATAGGGAAGAGGGTGGTCAGAGAGCATCCTGGATCCCAACATGTTGCCTGGGCTGTATGGACATCCTGACCTCAAAATCAACGGAAATTGTGGAGAATTTCCTATGTTTGGGCAGGAAGGCTCCCACACATGGGAGACAGAGAAGAAATTAAGTCCAGCCTCCACTGCTGGACACTGACTTCTGGACTCACCAGAGATCAAAAGGTAAAGAGAAGGGAAGATCCAAGAGAGTTTGTCGCCTTGTTTGTAAGGAGCTTCAGGCCTTGAAGCATCTATCAGGACCCATATCAGCATTTCTCCCTGTGCCTAGAGGAAGTGGTAGTTGAACTTGCTACTTGTTAACCTTTATTTGCCTTTTGTTCTTCAATAAGTCAGCAGTTCCTTACATAAAATTCTGCCTGTTAAAGCAAACATCTTAATTTCTGTTTCCTGACCTCCTCTAAGAGAGCGACTAGTTTCAGCTTTAATGAGGACAGGAGTTGGAGGAATTTAATCTTAAGGACTCAATGAGTCTTGAAAGCAACTGATACTAGTCTAGGGTCCAGATAACAAGTGGAGAAAGGGCAGAGGGCAGCAGACATGCTTGTCTTTCCCTGTACATCGACAAGTAAGAAGAAAACAGTCCAGGACAAGGTGGTGAATGGATGATTTGTTTTATTGTTTCATTTCAGGTAGGAAACTGCCAGTGGCATAAGAATGATTCTCTGGGGTTCCCAAGGCAGCTTGAAGAGGTGGGATCAGGGATCAGCAGGTGAGTTTTTAGGAAAGAATAGAGATTTCTGAATTCCAGGTCAGAAGAAACTTCTAGGACAAAATTTGAAATCTTCACTGATACATCTCAGCAGACAGTCAGGCCAAAGGAAGATGGCCTTGTCCTTTTCATGCCTCTAATTCAGCTCTTCTTGGCTCAGGGTCTACTTCAGCAGCAGCCGCCTCCAGAGGACTGACCACTCCCCCCTCCACAGCACCCAGAGCCCCCCGAGGGCTGGCTGCAGCAGTCAGACCTCTGGGGTCTGCAGTGGTGGGACCTGTGGCGCCTGTGGTGGCTCAGGCAGCAGCCCCCAGACCCAGAGCTGCAGCAGCCCCCGGAGCTGGAGCCGCAGCAGCTCCCGGAGCTGACACCGCAGCAGGAGGAGACTGGGGGGCACTTTGGGGGGCACTTAGGGGTGGGGCACTTGGGGGCACACTTGGGAGGAGGCTGGCACTGCTGCTGGTTCTGCTGGCAGGACATCTTGGTGGGCGGGTTCAGGAGCTGAGGGAGAGACAGACAGCAGGTTAGACCAGCACACAGAGACCTCCCTGCCCCTTCCTGAACTTTCAGCATCTTTCTAGCCCCTTTATCTTGAAAGTCTTCAGATCAGACATAAGAAAATCATCTCTTTAGTGCTCATTAACATTTCCTAAGTGTCAGAAAAAGGACCAGGAAATAAACTGGCTCCAGGTCAGCATTCTCTCTACCACGTCACCAAGATCCTTGAAAATGTCCAATGTAGGGACCATTTTAGAGCTGAAAGCCTCATTAAGGCAAAAGCAAAATCTTCCTCTCCCTGAAGAATTTCTGATATGTTTTCATTTTGCAGAACATAGAAAATTGCAACTGCAAAGGGCCTTGGAGTCAATGTGTCCCAATCAGCTCATTTCAGAAGAAACTGAAACAAACAGGCAAATTCACTGGCTCGGGGCTATTCACAAACACATCACAGTTTCATCCCCAGGTTCCCTGACTCCCAACCCAAAGACTGTCTTATATCCTGCTCCCAGGCCTGTCACCGGGCTGCTCAGCCTCACTATGGATCTTCTTGTTGGAATCCAAACAGATCCACAAGTGTCTCTGATTTTCTCCACTAAGTACCAGCATTCTCAGTCCATTATTTCTACAACTGGGTAGGGATATGTTTCCAAAATGATGCTTCCATTATACACCCCCACTCCAGCATAATCTAGAGGTCAGTATTTTTATTCCCTAAAAGCAGAAAAACACACCCAGCAACTGAAAACCGTTTGGTTTCTCTAAAGCTCCAGCACTAGCCACAAGAATCTTCCCAGTAGCTCTTGGTCTCTCTCACTCATCTTTCCTTCCTTCCTTCAGATTCCTGAGCTTTTGTCCTTGCTGGCCACAACTTCACCCCCAAGCTTCTGCCCTGCCCTCCCCTCTGGTCTGAGCATCCTCTGTGGAAGGCCCTGATCCCACTCCCAGTGGAAACTCACCGGTGCACACACAGCACAGAGTCGTCAGCACCTCAGGAGAGGAGTGGATGGAGGTGCTCTGGCCCCAAGGCCCTTTTATCCTGGCCTTGGGCTCTGCCCTCAGGTGTGAGCCAGGGCCTGGGCATGAGAGGACCGCCTCCTGCCACCCACATGGTTCCTGTGACAGGTGATGACTGGCAGTTTTTCCCTGCCTCCCTCTACGTGGCTCAGGGCAGCCGTTCCTGGCTAGGAAAGCACCTGCCTAAAATGAGGGCTATAGTGGGTGGAAACAGACACCAGCATTCATGGAATCCTCTGTTGCCTTACTTCCCATGTAACATGGCTCTCTTCACAGCCTTCTCTTCATACCGAGGGACCTGGTCACATGAGGCCTTTCCTTCCACCCTAGATATTAATTTTTCATCTGGACCTTTGCATCTAGATAGCTTGGAGTGAAAATCTACATGTCTAAGTTGTGGGGTGTGTGTATGTGTGTATGACTGTCAACTAAAAAATATATTCACAGTCCGAGACTTTATAGTTATGTTTTATTTGGCAAAAATTTTTAGGACTTCAAGTCCTGGAAATAGCATCTCAAGTAACCCTGAGAAAACTGAGAGGAGGTGAGGGGGAAACTAGGATATATATAGGAGTTTTGCAACAAACAGCAAATAGTAGGTGCAAAAGATTACTATCAGTAAAAGAAAACCAGATATCTTAAATTAAGGAACTTAGCACTTTTCTGTGTTTGGGAAGATGCAAGAGTCTGGGCTCACTGAAATCACTCCTTTGATACGTGCCTCAGCTATCTGGGACCAGTATCCTCTGTTTACACATCCCAAATTTCCCGAGGACTCACCATAGGGAGTGGCTGCATCTGATGACTGCTAGATAGCAGGTATTCTTTTCCTTGGGGCTCACCAGCTCACCATTGGTGGTGGCTACCAGCTCTGGTGACTGTGACATCCTTTGTTTATTGATGTGGCAGGTGATATTTCATATCAGAATAGAATATTCTGGTTACTAGAACCATATCAGAATGGAATATTCTATCATAACCTTAGCTTTCTAATATTTTAGATTGAGATTATGATAGGAATGTCTTCTTCAGGATCTACAAATTAAGATGGCAAAGAGGAAGTAGACCAGATGGTAGTCAGCACTGTGTGATGTTCAGGTTGATAGACAGGCATAAAGGAAAATAGATTCAGACATGAATTTTTAACAGACAGTGGGCTTTTATTAAGTCATAGCTATCTTTTAAAACTAGGTGGATCTTATTAAAACTAAATGCCATTTTTTCCAATATACCTCAAAGAATCTGAGTTTATGAGGAGATGTCCAGAATTAAAATAGGAGAAGAGGACTGAGGAGAGGCATATTTCCCTAAATTATAGCCTGATTCACAATTTCCTGGGGCAACTCTGAAGGAATGAAGTAAAGTAAAAATGGGACAAGTGAAAAAAGAAAGTGACCAAAGAAGAGGTCTTAAAGTGTGACTTCAAGTGGTGCAACTGGTATACTTAAGAACAGACATATTCAATATTCATTAAAAATTTTCATTATTGCAATATAGATTTCCTATGTCCCCCAAGGTTAAAAATGACCAAATGGAAGTTTAAAAAATGAGAAACAGATTATCTGAAAAAAATAAGTTCAAAATTAAATATAATGTCAGAAAACTCACTGGATGGTCTTAGCAGATTGTAAAGCACAGAAGAACAGATTGGTGAACCTGAATTTGAAAAAATTATTCAAACTGAAATGGAAGAGAGGAAAAAATATTGGGGAAAAATGAACAGATGATTGATAATCTGTTGAAAAATAGCAAACATTATACATACATGTTAGAGTCCAGAAGATAAAATAAATAGAATGGAGGAGGAAATGTAGTTTAAAACAACAGTAAAAATTTTTCCAAATTTCATAAAAATTGTTAACTAATAAATCCAAAATGCTATTTAAAAATCCAGTAAGTAGTAAAGCATGTCTAGGGGGAAGATACAAACCAGTCTTGGAAAATAGGTAAAAGAGAAAGGAATTCTGAAGAAGGTAACCAGAAAGATTTGTCAAAGAGGTCTGGTACGAATATAGGCTTTAAAGGGTGGTGAAGCCTTGATCCCGGGGGTGGAACCAGGAGGATATTCAGTGGAGAAGAGCAGTGTGAGAATATGTATGGTGCAGGAGAATACAGGTGGTCTTCTGTGAGCAGAGTGGTCCAGCATGACTGGAATGTAGGGCATGTGTGATGGAGTAGGGAGGGAGAGTGAGGCATAGAATAAGGCAGAAAAGAACACTAGGTCCAGATTTGGGGGAGACTACAGCCAGGGTCAGTCCTCCAGGTTTTATGCAATGTTCACCAAAAATCCACTGAAGGCCTTGGTTCAATTTTATGATTGTTACTTGTATGCTTGTCATTTTAGCAGGGTTAAGGATAATCACATTTATGCTGGGGATTCATGCAGGAGACTGGGACAGAGGACAACAGCAGTGGGGGAAGAGCTGAGAAAGCCACTGCTGATAATCCCCTAGATGTTGTCACAGACTGATAATTCCTTTCTCACGAATTCCAAATCCAAAGACCTCAGAAAACTGAGTTTCTTGTCTGATTGTTTATGATAGCCATTTCGTGGCAAAAAAAAAAAAAACTGAACTGAGCTGACAGTGAGGTCTCTTCACCTTACTGTGAATGTTCCTATGTTCTGTTGCAGAAATACAAATGACCTCTCTGAGGGAACGCTGAAGCCATGAGGGGTGGAGGATCTGGACTATACGACCTGCCTCCCCAAGATGTGGTGGGCTCCTTGGTTTGAGTTTGTAAAAAATTATGTGACTATCTCAATTAAATAAAGGCTGGCACCACGAGGGGGAGCTCTAATGCCCTGAATGAATAACAGAGCACATCAAGAAGACTCTTCTTTCCTGGCAAAGACTCAGCCAATGAAAAACCATGGACTCTTGTTAACTACAGAACTCCCAACTTCCTTTTCCCCTTTATAAAAGTGTTCTCCTTTCCTCACCATGTAGGGACTTGTATGTGACTCCCCATGGTTGCAGACACCAAATTGCAATTCACTGAGGATTCCAAATAAACGCATCTTTGCTGGAGAAATATCTGGCAGTTTGTTTTAGGTCAGCAAATCCATGGTGTTAGGGTTGTACATGGCCAACTCTGAAGTATTCCTGCAGCATTACTATCAAAAATAAATCCTATTTGTTGACTATCCTCCTTTTTAAAAATGTCCTAAATTTTATTTGGTGTCAAGGGATTCAGATAAGGAATAGGTCTGTGGTATTGGTATCCTGGCAACCCACTCTGGTATTCTTGTCTGGGAAATTCCATGGACAGAGGAGCCTGGTGGACTACAGGCCACGGGGTTGCAAAGAGCTGGACACGACTTAGCGACTAAATAACAACAAATGTCAATATAGCTGAGGGTGAGAAACGCTGTTTGCTACTGGAGGATTAAGACTATACTCATTGGAAACAGCTCCTGGATTTCTGACTGAATAAAACAAACCTCTGAAGAATGCAAATGAGATGCTATGGAAATAAATGATGAATGAAATGCTTGCTCAACCCAGCCTTTTTATCCAGGCAGGGTCAAGTCAGGAGGCCTTCGAGTGACTAAGGGCTCAATCTCCATTCAAGCCTAAAAAGTATCTCTGACTGATGGAGAGCCTCTCCTCCCTGGTACCACCTGTCCCTCTGGCTGGTCCAAGGAGACACAGCCGTGGTAAACTGGCTGCATGGCATCAATAAGCTGATGGTCATTTGTGACGGCTGCTCATCTCAGTATCCTTAAACCCAACATCCACCCTGGTACTTGAACTCTCTGATCTCAAAACTTCTTCTCTTTCTAGATTCAGCGTTTTGCCTCAGCCATTTTCCAGCACCAATCACTTTATCCCTCTTCTGTCTGCCATTCCATGTCCGTTTACTTCTTCAATTGCTTTTCTTCCAAGCCCCCCATTTGATCCAGCTTGAGGCAGGAGATAGATGGGCCTGGGCAAGAAATT